TTAGCCTGCCCTTTCCCCTTCTATTTACTTTTAAATTTTGTTCTGAACAGGAAATTCTGTGGAGTGGCAAGGAAGTACATTTTAAAAAGAGTGATGTGATGTTGCAAAGAAAACCTGAGTAGAATAAAAAGTATTCCTTAAACTTTTTTCTTACTGGCTTTCTTTTTAAGGACTTCTTGCTTGCTCTCTGCTTACACAGGCACACATGCAAATGATATGTATCTATAAAAATACAGAGATTTACTATATGAAATTATAGTTCATATAGGAAAGATTCTTCTCCCCTGGCTAAAAAGCAGGTTTGTTGCTATATGCAGCAAGGATCCTGTTATAGAGAGTAGAAACACTTGAGATCCTGACACCACTGCCGTAATACAATTTTTGGTCCCTCTAGAATAAAGACACAAATAAAAAATTTTAACTTAATTGAAAAACGACTGTAAATATGTCATTTGGAAAAGGTCATTCCTATTTTGCTTATTTAAATGCCTGTTTTTGTGTTCTCACTACAGAAATCCTTTCGGTGCCTAAAAGCTGAGATGAGCAGTACTTGTTCACATACTGTCTACAGCAGTGGACCTGCTCTTAGCTTGACCTGTGTAATCGCACTGCTCTCAAATTTGCGCTTGGGTGCATCTGTGGGAATAACACACCTTTGCAGTTAGGCATTAACAGCTGCACTTGGAGTTACTCTCTATCTGTATATTCGTTTAGGCCTCTGTTTGTTCTTCAAGTTTTCTGGCTCTAACCTCTGCTGAGGTTAGAAAGTTCCTGTTCGTCTCTGTCCTCCCTGATAGTTTTCAGAGAAAATTTGGACGAATCCCTTAAAGACATATCTTGAGAACTTTCCTTCTCGCTTTTGTTTTGGTACCTAGTACTCAGATCTTTCCCCCTACATAATTTGATTTTGTTTTGATAGCTTTTTAGAAGAGTAGACTTTTTTTTTAAAAGCTCCAACATCCCATTTTTTTGTTAGTCTACAAGGCATATGGAGTTTGAAATTGGGCATCAGGACCCTCTCTGCCACTGATGAGGAGGCAGATTACTTCCAGTGGCTGACAGAAGTTGTGCATTCCTGGTGTGCTGGGCAGATGTACTCACTCAGCAGGCTCCATGTTTCCCTTCTGG